AGATTTACGCCCGATTCTTGAAGTTAACGGATAAATGAGACTTAACTGACGATGCGCTTCTTCAAACCTCAATTAGCTGAAACTTATGATAACTGATAGATGAACTTTAAGTTGAATATATAATTTATAACTTGGACTTCTTAAATTTTCAACAATCTACTCCATTAAAATCTGGCAGGCAGCTTTAGAGGATGGGACAGTGGGTGATTTTTAAGTGAAGGGGGGTGGAGCTCAAAGGGTACCCAAGTAGCACATACATGACCCTGCAACTACGTATTAACCAAATACAACGTCGCTAGAAGTGCAGATAAGTGACCGTCAATGATTTTTCGTTAAAATTACGTCGTGCCGTCGTCCTTAATATGTGGTCAAGAAATCGGACCTTTATCTAGCTCAATTTTGACGTAATAAATGAAAACCAGTATAAACGTTGAATTGATAAAGTCAATTCGTCGTCCTCTTATATACTTGTGACTCTGAAACGTTTTTTAACGTCGCCTAATACGACCCATTATGAGGTGAGATAAAAATCATAAAATGGACGTCATTATATTGTACCAAATTCAACGTTGCATTGAAGACGTCAATCCGTCGTTATCCTCATATCCTGTGACCTCTAAAACGTTTCAAAAACGTCGTCTGAGACGACCAATCATAAGGTCAGATAATGGTCTTAGAAAAACGTCCGGCTAACGTTGAAATTGGACACAGGAAAAATTTGGTATAGACATGAAGGAAATGGAGCAAGAAGGGAAATTGGAAGAGAACCCTGTCATTTTCAATTAGGAAATTGAAAAAGATTCCATAAATGTCGGGTTAAAAGGTAATATTTCAAGATTTTGAACATCAAAAATAAAACATTTACAGTTTCCAGAAAAATTTCAAATAAATGAGAGCGTTAAAGCACCTAAAGAACTGGTTACGATAGGTTACCATATGGGACCTTTAGTCATCTAGGTTTATATGCTTATACTATTTTATTACCTATGGTCCTATGTTTATATACATTAAGTTTATTTTCATGACGAAAACACGTATTAGGTTAGGATGAGGTGCAGATTATTAAGTCGACCATTTTATATATCGCAAGGTCCTATCTAATCATCCGCCATTGCTGCACTTTTAATAAAAATAAAATAATATCTGAAAAATCAATCCCTAATAAGGAAATTTTATCAAAATTATTTATTTTTGTGTAAATCGGACTTGCCCAAAGATGTTTTTGACCCATCGGAACTATATAAGAAATTATATGTAAATTAGTAAATTACAGATTTTTTATTTTTTTTTTTGGAAAATATCAACAAAATAGGAGCCCGTTTGTTTTGTGTGCATATCATAATAATATTTGACAGAAAAGTTGACTTCGTTTGAAATTTTCATGCCCACAGAAGCTAAATATTTAGTTTCACGTATTTTATTGTTGACAAGGCCAGGCGCCATTATTATTTTATGTCTGCCGATATTCTTATAGGTACCTACCTAATCATTTTGTTTTTAAAGTGATGAGTTGGGAAATAAAATAACACTAATAATAAACCAAAAGTGCGAATTTGGTGCAATATATTAAACCTGGAACGTCCTTTGTTTTGTTTGGTAGGTATTTGTTTTTAGGTTAGTCATGGTTTACGACGATTAGTAAACGTTCAAATCTGGTTGTATATGCTGACGTATAAGTTAAAAATTAGTAAAATCTCGCGACCTGCGACGTCGTTACAACCATGAAATGATTGTCCATTTTGGTGAAAATAAGGGTTGTAAAGTCGTCTATTTGACGTCACGCCTTAACGTCAAGACATCAATGACGACTTTGTTAGGACGTAAAAGCGCTGCTTGGGTAAGTCGGGGTTGGTATGTATTCCCCCTCGATATTGGTGTTACTGGGGACTCAACGTTTGCTCCTGGAAAGTGGCCTGGCATATCTTTAGATAAACCGATTAGAAAAAATTACGGTTCCGTTAGCGGTACTAGATATTTTATGTGCGAACCTAAAAAGGGAGTTTTCTGCCGTCTTACCAAACTGACCAGGGTGCCTCTCTATCATGGAGGTTCTGCGGACATAACTCTATTCAGTACATCTTCATAACATGTTGGGAGTCATAAAATGCTCGCCATATCACCATCGCCTACAGAAAGTAATAGAAGTATAATGAAATCTCCTGGGTCTCCCTTTGAATCAAATACAAGCTTGTCATCTGCACAAGCAGACTACACAATCGGAGACGGAGTGATAATAAAAAGTGGTCAGGGTTCCAAAGTAGGTACTGTTAGACATATGGGCCTCACAGAGTCTGCTAAAGGGGAACGGATCGGGGTGGAATGAGACGAACCCGGGGGAAAAAATGATTGATCTGCTAATGGGATTAGATATTTTGAATGCCTACCAGGCTTTGGAATTTTCACTCCTATCTCCAAGGTTAGCAAGTCCCCATCAAATGTAAAACCCAATCACTGCCAAGTATATTCTCCCACTGGGGGTTTGCCTCCCAGTGGCATAAGAATGGCAACATTTAGATAATCAATGACCTCTAGTGTGTCCATGATGAGCTCGGCTTCCACAGCTCCTAGAAGGGTAAGGCTGGAAGTAACGTCATTGGCACCCAAGAAATCACCCACAACACCGACTACCACTACCCGAACAGTAGCAGCTCGAGCAGCCTGGCAGGTAACTTACTGAAGTTTTTTCGCTCTATAGCAACACCAAAGGCTTTTAGACTAGATCATAACATTTTTTTTTTTTTTGTAGAGGCATAAATATTAAAAAATGATACTCGAAAAAGTGATGAATGAGCAATTGGGTCAGTTTGTTACAGGAAACCGTATTTTGCCTACCATCCAATCGGTTTTTGAGTCGAACATAGTACCCCAACAGCGTTACTACATGTCTCTGACAACATTTTTAGAGCCGCAGGATCAGGGTAAGATTACTGCTTTGGTCTTATTGAACTGTAGTAAGGCATTTGAGACGTTGGACCATTCAAAACTTGAATATTTTGAGCTTCCGGACACTGCACTCGAACTAATAAATGATTATTCTTTTTATCAGACGGATGCTTTTAAGGCTACAGAGGCTATCAATGCTGACCTTGCTATAACTTCAGACGTGTCTACCCTACATAAGTTAGTCCTCAATGATGTCAAGTTTGAACTTGGTTCATCTTCATTAAATAATGTTGAGATAAAAATTAATAATGCGTTGTTAACGCCCTCTAGCTGTGAAAAGAATTTGGGGATTTTTTTGGAAACTCAACCAAAATTTGAGGCACATAATCCAGCTTATTGCAAAGATCATATTATAAATTGTAAATTTTATACATGTACAAAAATATATACCGACAACAGAAGTTAAGACACAGATTCATTGATATTATAACATCTTCACTTTTACACGGTGACTTAATATATTGGCCAGCCCTTACACACCGATGAAATCCATCTATGCTTCATTGATGAGATTAAAAACAACCAAGTAGAAGTACGGTCGCATACACTGGATCACGCGCCAGTGTTCTATGCAATGCGATGTTGCACGATCTACTGATTTGCTTCCAGTTTCTTTCTATAATTCCCCATCAATTCCACTTTTTTCTTGATAATTCTTCAAATTTCCCGAGTAATTCTCCCAATTCTCCAGTAATTCCGCTAGTTCCCCACTGATTTCTCTAATTTTTCACTAATTCCTTTAATTCTCCACTACTTCCTCCAATTTCTTTGTAATTCCTGAAGATAGTACATCAAAATTCCCCTGCGGTTTACCCCTCGTAAGTACGGTGCTGATAATATTCTCCTGAGTGTCGATCTCTAAACCTTTCATATGGCCTTGACCAGAAAGTGAGGTTATAGTGAGATTATTCGCCCTTCTTATCGTCAAATATTTCATACTTGCATTTTATTTCCACCCCTATCGTTGAAATATCATAGTTATCTCAGAAAACCGAATTTTATTTTTAAACAATTGTTGCTTTTTTACTAAGAATAAAAAATGAAAACTTATTTTTATGTTCAACCTCATTCACATTCATTCATTTATAAAACATTTCCACTGTCGGAAGTTCATCTTCTATTATGGTAGGTTAAAACGCACACAGTTTGGTTTCAAAAGTTTACTCCCATCGGGCATGCTTTGGTGCGAACTTTCTCCCCCGACGTGTGAGATTTACACGCAATTTTTTTTTATTACACTCATACACATCCAAGGAAGTATAAAATATTGATGCATAAAACAATATAAATTACTTAGTGTATAACATTTACCGCTACTTGGGTTATTTATTTCCTATTTAATATCTATTGAATATACGTTATTCAGTGTTTTTGAATAATAAGTTTAGACATCATTGAGGACCAACTTGTGAAAGGTAGAACCTCTGAAATTATAGAAAGATCAGCATTAATAGCCTCTGCAGCCCTAAAGGCATCCGTGTGGTGATGAAATGAATTAATGATAAATTTGAATATCATCTGCATATTGAGGAGATGAACATTCTTTTAAACAAGTATAGAAATTTCATGTGTATAAAAAAAATAACTTAAGGCCCAAAATGCTACCTTGCGGTACATCTCTATCAACGTCCAAATACTCTGACAAATGTGACCCCATCAAAACTCTCTGTCTTCTTCCTTAAAGGTAATCATTTATTAATTCGAGTGCAGTGTCCTGAAGCCCAAAAAATTTGAGTTTTGAGTGGTCCAACATGTCAAATATCTTACTATAGTCCAATAAGACCAGAGCAGTCATCTTACCCTGATCCTACGCCCTAAAAATGTTGTCGCAGACATCTAGTAACGCTGTTGGGGTAATATGTTCGGCTCTACAACCTGACTGGGTGGTAGGCAAAATACGGTTTCCTGTAATAAACTGACCCAATTGGTCATTTATCACTTTTTCGAGTATCATATTTAAACATTTATGCCTCTACAAAAAAATAAAATAAAAATATGACGATCTAGTGTAAAAGCCTTTGGTGTTGATATAGAACGAAAAAACTTCAGTAAGTTACCTGCCAGGCTGCTCGAGCTGCTACTGTTCGGGTAGTGGTAGTCGGTGTTGTGGGTGATTTCTTGGGTGCCAATGACGTTACTCCCAGCCTTACCCTTCTAGGAGCTGTGGAAGCCGAGCTCATCATCGACACACTAGAGGTCATTGATCCTCTAGATGTTGCGCTTCTTATGCCACTGGGAGGCAAACCTCCAGTTGGAGAATGTATTTGGCAATGATTCGGTTTCACATTTGATGAGGACTTGCTAACCTTGGAGATAGGAGTGAAAATTCCAAAGCCTGGTGGGCATTCAAAATATCCAATCCCATTGACAGACCCATCGTTTTTGCCCCTGGGTTCGTCTAATTCCATCCCGATCCATTCTCCTTTGGTAAACTATGTGAGGCCCATATATTTAACAGTACCTACTTTTGAACCCTGACCACTTTTTATTATCACTCTGTTTCCGATTGTGTATCCTACTTATGCAAATGACAAGCTTGTATTTGATTCAAAGGGAGACCCATGAGACTTCATCATACTTTTATGACTTTTTGTAGTGATGGCGACGTGGCGAGCATTCTATGAATCCCAACACCCCCCTAATGAGCTGTGGGACCTTGACGTGGTGGGGGGGCTCAGTAACCTGCACAGACTCACTCCTTCCATAGTGAGAATCGGCGGTGAAGCTAAGGACAGCTCTCCAATCTAACATATGGCAAAACAGCATGCGCCGAGGGATGCATGATAGAGGAAGTCCTCTATCGCTAGTTTGCGAATTCCAGATACAGAGCGACCTCTGGTTCAATTGAGCTTTTTTACACCAATGCGGAGCTCTGGTGTGAGTGACGTTTTCATTCTCTTGTTACTCGAGGAAATCAAATGGACCAAAAACGAACAAAAAACAAACCAGAGGAGGACTCAGAAATGAGCGACTCCTTCTCAACAGCATCCACCATCACCGAAGGAGGGGCAGCTTCGGCAGCAGACTTCTTTGTTGAAATACCAACTAGAGCAGACTCACCGCCGGCGCCGGCGGTGGAAAACATTGCAGGGGACCTATCTAAGATAGATCTCACAAACAAGAAAATATCTGGTGCACAGCTGAGGAAGCTGAAAAAAGCCCAGAAAATAGCCGCAGGGACCTGAACTAAAGTAAATCCAGCCAGGGCAAAGAATGCGCGAAAACAAAAAGGCAATAGCACGCTATACTCCAGGCTCCTGATTATATTTAGAGCAAGCTTGGGACTAAATCATATTCCCAAAGCCTGGAAAGAAATCAGAGATGTTTTCATCCCCAAACCTGGCAAAACAGGTCAGGACAATGCAAAAGCTCTGAGACCCATAAGCGTCATGTTATTTTTGTTGAAGGCTCTAGTAAAACTGCTCGAGTCCAACCTCGACTGAAACTGCACTACATCACCTCGTCCAGCGGGTAGGAAGTACGTTGGAAAATAGGGAAGTTATGTTGCGAGCCTTCCTTGATATAGAGGGGACGTTTGACAACATTTCCTTTGAGGCAATCGAGGTATTGATGTTACATGCTGCAGATAGATAGAATGCATGCTTAGAGGTAAAGTCATCCACTCCAGGCTCCTAGGTAAAACAGTAACGGCTCGGGTTGTAAAGGGATGTCCGCAAGGCGGAGTGTTATCACCCCTGCTGTGAAATCTGGTGATGGACGAGCTGATACAGCTACTGAAGAGCAACAACTATGAAGTAGTGGGCTATGCACATGACTTGCTCATAATATCTCAGGGCAAATTCAACCATGCAGTTAAAGATCGCATGCAGCAGGCTCCAACAATAGTCTCTACGTGGACAGAGACTGTAGGGTTGAAAATTAATACCACCAAATCGACAATTGTACCGTTTACCCAGTTACGATGTCCGACGAAGTCAAATATCTTGGGGTAATCATAGACTCAAAATTAACTTGGAACAAACATCTGGACAAAGTAATTAAAAGGTCAGAACTGGCACTTATATAAGCCAGGAGAACTTTCGGAACAAACATGGGGGCAACGGTTGTAAAACCAGTGATAACCTATGCGTCTTTGATATGGTGAACAAAGACACAACAAGACAGAGCCAGAATGAGACTTGGCAGGGTGCAAAGACTGGCCTGGCTGGGCATAACAGGGTAGATGAAAAGCACAACAACAGTAGCTATGGAAGTCCTACTAGGCCTACCTCCGCTACACATTGTAATTTAGGCGAAAGCCAGGATAAGCCTCCACTGACAACAGAAAGATTTAGCATAATAAGCCTCCGGCTGTAGCGCTACTCGGAGTTTAATCAGACGATTTCACATGTGATGAAGGGGTACTGAACAGAGTTATGTCCGCAGGACCTCCATGATCGAGGTGCAACCTGGCCGCATTTTTCCGTTTCCTATTTGGTTACCGCTACATGGAGCGCTAATCCTCTAGGATTTGTGAAATTATATCTCGTATCGCGTTTCCTAATAGGCCAGCGCACATAGTCTACCGCTACATGGAGCGCTAAACATATAGGACTTGTAAAATTATATCTGACGTCGCGTTTCCTATTAGACCAGCGCACATAAATAACTACGCTCATTTTGCCAACCATGCTGTTACGTGACTTTTGACATTGGGTTGGTTTTTAATAATAATTAATAAAACAACTTGCAGAGAACAGTAATTAAAAAAAACTTATGAGAATCTTTTTCATAGTTGCAGACAAGCACTTTCCCGCGGTAGAAAATATATTTTAGTAATAATAAGTGTTTCTACTGTAACAGGAAAAAAATATTAGTGGCAGCAAAGAACTTCACTGTTACACAACCAAGGTACTTTTCGCTAACTTAGTAAAGTGCGTTCTACTACTAGAATAGGATCGTTTTGCAATTAGAGCTAAAATTTCTGCTATGATAGCCGAAAATCCATTGGTAAAGAATTTTAGGCTAGAGGATTTCTCAGTGCAGAATCAACAGAGACACAACGAGAAATATTACAAAATTATTGCACTACCTGTAACCACCAATTAACCTCGAAAAATAAAAACGATAATGAAATGGATTGCCAGTGCAATGGATGTCTGCAGACGATCACGGAAGGTGTGCGCTGGTCTAATAGGAAACGCGACGTCAGAGTCCTATATGATTAGCGCTCCATTGTTGTTGTATGTTGTTGTATGTGTTGGAGGTGTCAGTTGCACCGCGACCTAGTAGATCTATTGTACCCCTCCTTCTGCTGCCAGGTCAGAGCTTCCTGCTCAAAGCAGCCCCTCCAGTCCTAGGTCCTTAAGGAATCTCAGGATATGCAGCGGTTCCAGAGTTGAAATATTTTCCAACTGTATGGTGGGGCTTCCCAGATTCTTCATACTTGAACGACTAATGGCATTACAATTCAGTAGAAGGTGGTAAGGTGTTTCCTCTCCGTGTTCGCAGAATCTGCAGGTGCCATTTTCTTTCAGACCTAATTTGTGTAGGTGTTTTTTGAGTCTGGGGTGTCCCGAGAGGAACCTTGCTAAGGTTGACTAGCAGTTCTGATCTTTTTTTTGGTTAAAGTTGCCTCGCGCTCCATGTAGAGGTAGACAATGTGCGCTGGCCTAATAGGAAACGCGATGCCAGATATAATTTTACATGTCCTACATGATTAGTGCTCCATGTAGCGGTAACCAAATAGGAAACGGAAAAATGCAACCTGGCCAGTCTAGTAAAACGGCAGAAATTTCCCTTCTTAGGTTCGCACATAAAAAATTAAGTACCGCCAAAGAAACCGTCATTTTTTCCAATCGGTTCATAAAGCTATACCAGCCCACTCTCCAGGGGCAAATCTTATGTCCCCAGTAACACCAATATCGAGGGAGAATACATTTGACAAATTTTTCAAATAACCCCGATTCGCACCTTGTGCTTCACCCCCGTGTACTTCAAAATCGCCCACTGTCTCATCCTCTAGAGCTGCCCGCCAGATTTTAATGAAGTAAATTATTGAAAAGCTGGAAAATTTAAGAAGTGAGGTTATAAGCTATAATATTCAACTTAGAGTTATTCTCTCAGTTATCATAAGTTCCAGCTAATTAAGGTTTGAAGAAACGCATCGTCAGTTAACTCTCATTTATCCGTTAACTTCAAGAACCGGGCGGGAAAGTGGCTATATAGGGAGTTACAAAATTTACTATTTTCGCAAACTCGAAAGCATTCTGGTCAGTGGAATTGGAGACAAATTGTTGAGTTCGATTTTGAAATAAAATATCGTCTTGAAAAAATCTAAATATATTAACTGGTGTCCAGTCATCCTGAAAAAAATGCAGCGTCATATATGAAATCAGAAAAAAAAAAATTCTCTTGTAGTCAGAAGGGTTGAAACGTGTTTGCTTATTCCCAAAAAAACGAAGGTAATTTACTGACTTATTCTCTTGTGAATACCAACTCAAATCTTGTTTACCCAGACTCTCTCAACTACCAATTAGTCTTATGAAAAGCTGATGTCTGTTTTCGTAACTAATTATTAATTTTCGCCCTTCAAACCTCTCCGGAAATAATCTAAATAATTTTGTTAAGCTCTTCTATAACTGCACAGGGTTGCGAACGTGTTATTAGGAAAGTTAAAGCTTATTGATGTTCAAATCTGATTTTCTACCCGCGGGAAAAGTTCGAAGTTATTAAAACTGCTACACCAGCAAAAATATAAAATATACATATAGGGTGTTTCAAAACTCAATACAAGGACCAGCTACATTTAAAGACTCTAATGAATATTTCTAGTAGACAAAATTTCACAACCAGACCATTTTAGGCTGAAGCTGCCACTTCCCACTAACACATACTCGATGGGATATCTTTGACTGAATACGTAATAATTGGAAACTTCGAAAATCTTAAAAGATCAGGTATTTATAAATCTGGTATTGCGTATTGCGGCCACTAAAAATAGTATTCGGATTGTTGCCGAGACTTATAATCCAGAACATTCTGTTGCTCCTCCAAGTCAAGCAGAAGAAAGATTTATAATTTTATTATTAAATACCCCGAAATATCTGCCAATCAATACATATCGATTGACCTGAATTAATCTGAGCTGCATTACTCCACAATCTATGATGAAACAAAGTATAATGACAGCTGTGCTAGATAAAAACAAGTTATAACCAATATACCTTTTCTGGCGAGGGATAAATATCAGGAACAAGAAAATCCTCTCAATTTCATACAAGAAATAAAAATATATCCGATTTCTAAGCTAACGAGAATATTTTTATGTTAAAACAATTTTCAAGTAAATTTTAGTGAGGCAAAATATTCAAATATGCACGAAAGTAGTGGAAAATCTTACGTGATGATAAATTCCAACGGAAATTCCGCCAAAGTGGATTATATAATATGTGCATGTGGATGTAGA